GTACTGAGGGTAGTATAGGTTTTTGTTGGGAGTACTGAGGGTAGTATAGGTTTTTGTTGGGAGTACTGAGGGTAGTATAGATTTGTGTTGAAACTTCTGTGATCGAGGTGTTGTTTTTTTTTTTTTTAATTATTTTCTGGGACTACATAGGGCAGCTTAGTTATATTTTTGTTAAGAATACTGAGAGTCAGCATAGGTTCAGTGCTTCATTTTTCTATACTGAACCCTGGCACTTGAAACATTTTTTTTAGACTCCAACTTTTTGTCAGTTGTAGTTGTATAGCCCCTCTCCTCCTTTCTTATTCGATTTCGGCTAATTACGAAATGGCGTAAATCTAAATTCCCCCTGCCACACTCACACACACACACTCACACAGACACAGGAACGCCTCCTTATGATGAGATTTATATCATGTTTCACCATTCGTGCCTGCACTTAGACCAAAGAACCTCAACTCTCGCTGCCAACTATCCAAAGAACCTCAACTCTCGCTGCCAACTATCCGAATACAGAAAAACGTGAATAAAAGGAATGTAGTCCAAGACGTTCGCTTCATTCCTCTTCCCCCCGCCCCCCATCCCCTCTTCGTTTTTTTTTTGTTTCCTCATAACTTCCTTGTTTGTTATAAACATTCACACTAGCACATCCCTATTTTAGCCTTCCTACTTCAGTCCACTCCCCCCCCCCCTCCCTCCCCCCCCCCTTGACCGCTGGGATACTCCAGACCTGGACAATTGATTATAGGTAAAAGATGTGGGGTGGGGGGGGGGAGGTGCGACTGCGTGAGAGAGGGGATAAAAATAATGAGTAGCTTTGTCTGACCCTGTTTAACTCGAGGGGGGGAGGGGGGGGGGGGGGGGGTAGGGAGGGGGTCTGACCCTGTTTGACTCGTCTATCTACTGGAGTGGCGGGTGGGGGAGGGAGGGGTTAGATCCAGTGTTCCCTCTAAGCTGCGCGGCTGCGCGGCCGCGCAGTACTTTCAAATGTGCCGCGCAGACATTTTCAGACCCCGCGCACAGATTATCAGAACGTCGGGCAAGCCTGATCACAAGAAAAAATGTGGCCAGTGGTTTGAATTAAGCGACATTTTTAGTGCCTGTTTTGTTAAACGAACAGTCTTTGTGTTTTGGGGAATAAACAGAAACCATGGTATCACTGACTGGGGGAAAGGGGTAACCTCGGTTGTCATAGCACAGGTCTAGTTTATGACTTAACTCTCACCTGAGCGGGGCTGTGTGACACTCCCAATGCTTGATTTAATGGTTTACCCGAAAACTGTCCGGAGCTGACATCTAATACCTGCATTGTATTGTGAATTGAAGCTGACCCTGCAAGTTTTTTAAATCGTCGCTTGACCCCGCCCCTCTCCCCCCCCTCCCCCTCATCTTGAAACTTTGACGATTAAGCCAAGTCAGATGCAAGTTTTACGTTACTTAAGGTGGATGTTTTTGCTCTGTTTGGTTTAAAGATTTATATATTATATATCCGATTCTTGGGATTATTACGTGCATGTGGATCGAAATGTTTTAGTATGCGCACACTGCTTAGGTAAATCAGGAATAAATGTCCACTACTGTGTGTTATTTAAAAATGTTGAGGAAAAAATGTGTGTAACAAGCAGTACAACAATGTGGCACAAAAAAAAGCGATACATTCGTTTAAACTGGAATGGCTCAAAGTTAAAGTAACAACCGATACGCCAGATCAAAGAATGTTTCTGTTGAATTAGAAAGCATCTACAAATATTCCGATGAGATTGGACTGAAGTGCAAGTTCTGTGCTGCTAGTACTTGTAACAAAACCAACAAGAACAACGAATTAGTCACAGGAAAGCTCTGGGAATCATGGGCGCTTGACTACTGCAAACGTCATTTATTGTCTCGTGTTTACGTAAGAAATGTTGCGATTTCGTACAACCGCTCAAATGGGACTGGTCTTAAACGTCTGCTGGTTGAAACTTACACTGAGCGAGGAGAACTAATTGAGCAAAACGTGCGCCAGCGATCAAACGAGGATCAAGTTCGAATCCTAACGGATAATGTTCTACTTAACATAAGGATGAACGCCTCGATGCTGTCGGTACAACTGATTCATAACCACATAAGAACATACTGACAGAACTTCGAGCAGCATCATTCCACACGCTTATAGTTGATGGCATAACAGTACATAAATTGCTAATCCTTTATTTTAAATTTCATCCAGTCAATTCTGTATTCTACAAAACCGTTTTTAGTGGAATAACTCAGCCTACTGTAAATGATGCCTTAGCTCTGGAGACAGCCGTAACACAGCACTACACTGAACATTAAAACCAAGAAAAGTGTGAGTTAAACGAAAGAATCGACACAAGGCAAACCACACAGTACATACAATCAGTCCGCGACCATTTAAATGTTAGGTTTCCAGGAGATGAACTGCAGCTTTGGTCATCTTTTTTATTCTACAAGCTTTAAAAAAATGTGCATTTGAGTTTGGCGTCTAAGATATCAAAGAATTGTGCGTAAAGTACAAAGACGGGTTACGTACGACAAATGATCAGTTAATTACCACCCAATACAACGACTTCAAATTTCGATAAAGTGAAAAACTCAAATCTGTTTCTGTAAATTATATGTCTGAATATGCAAGATTTGTCAAAACAAAGAACAATTTAGCTCACTGGCAAAGTTAAGTGACATTACTGTACCCTCCAAGCATGCAGTGCTGATTACGAACAAGGTTTTAGCTTTATTACCATAATAAAAGTGCAAGCACGAAATAGACTTGAAGCCACACATTTGGAGCATCTAATGCAAATTAAATTATATCTATATGCTGGAGAGGATGTGGATTTAAACAAAGCATATAAGGTGTGGAAGCAATGCAAGGTTAGACGCGAGAAATTGCAATAAATGCCCCTGAAAGGTTAGCTAATATTTGTTTTTAAGTCAGCTTTATTAAATGTTGCATATGTTAAACTATTGTGTTTGTATTACCGTTATGGTATTAGCATTATTACCATATGACTGTCTTACTTTAACATAGTAAGTCGACCATATAACTTGTTGTCTAAGTATAACTCTAAAAGATTTTATTAGTTTTTTTTTTATTTTGATGGTATTCGTATCTCCTTTTAATTGCATACGTTTCATTAGTCACACACATTATACTATTAATTTATCAAAATGCATGCCTTCATTATTATGCTTAATTGCAAGACTAAAAATACATATTAACTTGCCCAAGTCATTTTTAGCACCGCGCACACTACATATTTTTTGCACACACACTCTTGGTCCTTAGAGGGAACATTGGTTAGATCTGATGGCAAAGGGTCAGAGTCTGGTGCTTATTTATTCTTAAACAATGTCACTGAGTGTGGGACTGTGTCTGAGTGTGTGGGTGGGTGGGTTGGGTTGGGTTGGGTTGGGGGGGGGGGATGGGGTAGAGAAGTGTCGAGCTAGTGCTACACAAATTCCATAAAACCGACTTCGTGTTTACTTTACTTCCGAGGTTGTTGGTTTTTTTTTTTTTTTTTTTTTTTTTTTACTTAACATAAACACAAACCCATCCCCTTTCATGATACCCACTATCCCCATGGAAGTACCCCATGCACCATTTGCTAGAGAAAACAAAATGTATTACTTTTTTTTATATTATAAAATAAAATCACATTGCCCAAATCACTATTGGTTCTATCTAACACCACCCACTCTTCTCCAATTAGATTCCTTAATTTGTACACAAACCACGCCGTATCCCCCTTCTAATCTCCTTATACGCCTTTATTCCCAACACTATCACTCCGCTACCAGAACTACTTTTTTTTAGAAAAATTATATTGTTGCGCGGCAGCTGAAATATTTTATTCCTGCCAACAGTGGCTCGTGTATTCTGTGGCACCATTAATCCTAGCGGAGATAATCAATCACAATCCAATCGATCCGGATTGCGTTGCGGGATTACGTTTCGTAAAGCAGGTCCGTTCTAACTCCCCAATCAGGGTGGGGAGCAAAAATAGTTTTCTGAACTAACTCAACCTTTTGTTGGTTTGATGTAACTCAGAGATTTATGTTGATTTCTGGGTAAAGGGGTAAGGGACGACATTCATACAAATATATTTTGCATAAATATATACAGATATAGAGGTAGACATAGATGGGTCTAGGACATTCCCCCCGTCAATTCCCCCCTTCCCCGGAGTCATACCCCCCAGTAAAATAACCTCCCCCCCCCCCCCGGATTCGACTCGAGACTTTCGGGTTAGCAGCCTAGCGCTCTATCGCACGGGCCATGCTGTCCCATAACTACAAACCTATAGCTAACCCTAACACCAACATCAATCCTAATCCCTACTCATAACCTAAATCTAACCCTAATCTAACTCTATCCCTAACTGGGCGGGGTTATTGACGGTGGAGGGGGGTAAATGGAATTGCTCCAGGGATAATGTCCTGTTCCCATATAGATATCGATAAAGATAGAGAGAGAGAGATTGAGATAGATATACTCGCGCACGTACACACTCCATCAAACACAAATAAATTTCTCCTTCTCGCATTCCTTTGACCATCTCTCAACATCCTACGTCATTACCTGGGTTATCTACCCTACCCGTTGACCAACACAAATCCCCACCCAGCTTGCTCATCTTTTCCTTAACCTTGACCTCCCGCCCCCCTTCTCTCACCACCACAACAATCAAACCTCTAATGATCAACACCACCCCCCCCCCCACCCCACATACACGTGTCTACCCTACCCGTTGACCAACACAAATCCCCCACCCAGCTTGCTCATCTTTTCCTTAACCTTGACCTCCCGCCCCTTTCTCTCACCACCACAACAATCAAACCTCTACTGATCAACACCCCCCCCCCCCACACGTGTCTAACCTACCTGTTACCTGCCCTTACCTGTCATCACCTCCCGCTAATGACCCTGACATTGATGAAAACATCCCCCCCCCCGTGAGTTTTAATTACCTGACGTCTGACCTGTTGTTGTTGCTCCTCAGGTGTTGAAGATGGCGTTGCACCAGTGTTCCCAGTACAAGACGTGCACCCAGTGTCTTGAGGCCAGGGACCCCTACTGCGGCTGGTGCTCCACTGAAAGCGAGTGAGTAGATCACGTGACGCCCGTGTGCTCATACATCAGCATCTGTCATAATTAGGTAGCTCTGTCAGGGTTGGGGGGGGGGGTATGTGGCATTTCCGGTGGGTGTTTTTTTTTTCTACATGGGTGTGTGGGAGGGAGACATGTTCGGAATTGAGATAAATGAAGAGTTGTTTGTCGTTATCCGTAGTAGCGACAACCTAATCTAACTTAATCTAACCTAACCCTAAACTAACCAAACCTAATCTAGCCTAACCTAAACTAACCAAACCTAATCTAACCTAACAACCTAGCCTAACCTAAACTAACCAAACCTAATCTAGCCTAACCTAAACTAACCAAACCTAATCTAACCTAACAACCTAGCCTAACCTAAAGTAACCAAACCTAATCTAACCTAACAACCTAGCCTAACCTAAACTAAGCAAACCTAATCTAACCTAACCTGACCTAATCCTAACTAACCGCGCACCGTTACATCATTTTGTTTAATTTTCCGAAGACTTTATCTGAAGAATAAAATTAAACACCAAGCAGGATAAAAAAAAAAACATGACTTAGAATATCCCGCGAAAAATCCCAATGGCCCTCAGGGATACGGGGAATACTCCGGGGGGGGGGGGGGGGCGATGATATTAGAGAAGTAAAGACCGATATAAAATATTCCCTCTTCTAGTATCATGTGTGTTATCACGCCGTTCTAGCATAACGTGCAGGTTCAAAACCTGGTGATACCTCGACGAGTTTTCTAGCAGGCTCAGCCCTAAAGAGTATCAGGCGTTGGTTTTAAAAATATATATATAGGCGGCTGCACTATATATCCGCCTCACCTGGGTCAATAACTGTAACATCGTTGGGTTCATAGGCTGCTTTGTGAGACTCGCACGTCTTTCCATCGTCGTTGGTTAAAATGCCTAATCCAAACCCCCTTGTTAAAATACCTAATCCAAAAAACCCGAAACCCCCTTGTTAAAATGCCTAATCCAAAACCCACTTGTTAAAATGCCTAATCCAAAAAACCCGAAACCCCCTTGTTAAAATGCCTAATCCAAAACCCCCTTGTTAAAATGCCTAATCCAAAAAACCCGAAACCCCCTTGTTAAAATGCCTAATCCAAAAACCCCTTGTTAAAATGCCTAATCCAAAACCCCATTGTTAAAATGCCTTATCCAAAAACCCCTTGTTAGAATGCCTTATTCAAAACCCCCTTGTTAAAATGCCTAATCTAAAAACCCCTAGTTAAAATGCCTAATCCAAAACCCCCTTGTTAAAATGCCTAATTAAAAAAACCCTTGTTAAAACACGAATCCAAAACCCTCTTGTTAAAATAGAATGCCTAATCCAAAACCCTCTTGTTAAAATACCTAATCCAAAACCCTCTTGTTAAAATGCCTAATCTAAAACCCCTAGTTTTATCCACAAAACCAAGACACCTTATTTATATCAAGAATCCAACTCGCCCACCCCCCTGTGCCTTTATTGAAGTAGAGTCTCTGTCAAGTGATCGCGGCTGAGTTCGGTTGATTGCGCTAATTAGCGTGATTAGAACCCACCGCTAAACCTGTATTGAGCGATGAGAAAAATGCCGTATCAATCATCGCGATGATTGGAGAGGGGAGGGGGTGGAGTCCGTCGGTGATAAGCTCAAATTAGTGTCAAATTCTAATCATTTTCAAATCAAGTTTTATAGAATTAATCTCTGCGATTTTTTTTCTTTTAGATCTTGTTAAAGTTTGTTTTTTTAATGAATTTAATTTCAAGCGTTAAACCATAGCTTGTTAACACGTTGTCGGGCATGTGGATCATCTCTGCTCACACCTACTGCCTCTACACATACACCTCCACACTTATCCCCACACACACACAATCTCCCCACACACTACCCCAAACACACTCCTCCATACTTAACCAAAGCACGATCTAACCTGCTACATACGTCATATACGCACACATATACACACACACTCCCCCCCCCCCCATACCACATTTACCACCCCATTCACGATCTCATCCCTACACTACCTGCTCACACAACCCATACTCACATCCCCCTACCCTACCCCCCCCCCCCCCCCCCCCCATAGATATCACCAAAAGGCTCCCGTAACTACTGCGTCCAAATCAGCTTTCTCGTGGCTGACGAAATGTATTTCAAATACAAACACAACCTCCCCAAAACGGCTCTTATATTAACCCTTTGATCATCGGCTATTTCTGGAATCCGAACGATTCTGGAATCAGCTCCTCCCCGCCCTGCCCACAACAAGGCAAGTATCGTGAGTATTGATAAACTCGGGGCCTACACACCATGTATGGGTTTGGGATGGCTGGGTATAATTATGTCGCTAATTCTACGATTCCAGCAGAGATCCTACTGGATAAGCTATTGTCGGTAATGGTATGTCGGGATTTTTAGATGATGGGTGGGGGATGGGTGGAGGGGTGGTTAGACGATGGGTGGGGGATGGTTAGATGATGGACGGGGGTGGTAGATGGTTGGAAGAGTGGTTAGATGGCTGGAGAGATGGGTGGAGGGGTGGTAAGATGATGGGTGGGGGATGGTTAGATGATGGGATGGGGATGGTTAGATTGGTAGAAGAGTGGTTAGATGAGTGGAAGGGTGGTTATATGATGGGCGAGGGGATCGGTGGAGGGGTAGTTGAATGGGTGGAGGGATAGTCGTAAACTGTAAACATCTTGTCTAGAATGTAAAGAAACGTTTTTCATCCAAGCCAAATCTGTGGTACTGTTATGATCTGCTTGTCCTTACTCCAATTTTTGTAAAGATTTAAGCAAATCGGACTTTAAAAAACGTCAACTAATAATGTTAACTGTAATTTGGTAGTGCCTATCTACTTCATTGGGGATACTAATGAATGCTTTAAAAAAAATAAAAATAAGATGGTACCGGTTGAGATAGTAGGTATTACTGTATGAGCACAAGCGTCATGTTGTTGGTCATTTGAATGTACTCTAGTCTAATTAATTGTGCATGCTGAACGATTTTAACCAAGCTACTTGATTGGTTGAACTTACGCATGTTTTAAAGCTGTGCTAGTCACATTGATTTACATGTCTGTATGGTTTTAAATAATTTATGTTTACAAATTTTAATTTGCGATTTTCTTCACTTTTATTACATTATTTTAATGTTTCTCTTTGTATCGTAATTTGATGTGCATCAATAATATTGACGTATTTTATTCATATTTCCTTGTTGTTTTGTACTACAAATATAAATGTACTTATAATTTTACTAAACAATCACTGTCCTTAAAAGTGAATGCACTTTGTGCTCTTTAAATACTCACTATTTTAAATAATTCCCATTCAAATTTAAATCTCCCGCCTTAAACTTTCGACCAATCAAACGACAGTGAAATGAGCACGTTTTAGTTAGAGAGTAGTCTGCCATGTTTTGTGTTCGTGCTGTTCTTGTCAACTAAATCTCTCACAATTCCCTCCCTTATGCCGCCACCAGTGGTAACGGTGCCAACATGTAAGTAGTGTAGCAAGACTCGATGTTTGATGTCGTGTGTTGGGCTCAATCCTTACACTTATCCTACAATCCTTACACTTATCCTAGTTCATTATCCCTTATCCCATTCACCAACCACGTATCATATCCAGTCACAATGTTGTGTTATGTTGTGTTTTTGTTTTAGAACTCACGTAGACGATCACATAACTTAGCTAGATATATGGTAGTGCTTAGCTAGACCTAGGGTAATCTCACTAAAACACATTAACTAGATATACGGAAGTGCTTAGCTAGCCCCACACTAATACACATTAGCTAGATATACGGAAGTGCTTAGCTAGCCCCACACTAATACACATTGGCTAGATATATGGAAGTGCTTAGCTAGACCTACGCTAATACACATCAACTAGATAGATGGGAGTGCTTAGCTAGACCTACGGTAATCTCACTAAAACACATTAACTAGATAGGCCTATAAGGAAGTGCTTAGCTAGCCCCACACTAATACACATTGGCTAGATATATTGAACTGCTTATCTAGACCTACGCTAATTCACATTAACTAGATAATATATTGAAGTGCTGTAGAAAATTCTTAAAGAATAATTTAATGTATGAGAAAGCACAATTACAAAGGTCTCGTTTTCTAATTTTTTAAAAAAATGAAGTTAAATAGCATGATCAGTTCTATGTTCATGCGTTCTTTGTTTTCCCTGTATTTAGTAAATCACATCAATTTCTAGATGTAGCACTCCACACATCACATGAATTTAAACGTCCAGATTTAACTGGGTTTGCACTAGACGAACATGTAAGACGTATCGTCTGCACTGCTCCTGCTTTAAAGTGTCAGTGTAACACATCCCCGCCCCTCCCTCCCACCCACCGACCGGCGAAATAATTGGAAAGACTAACGCGGTTTTGCCGGAATTAACGCCGGCCGGCTGCAGGTAATTGATTTAAGGGGACAACCGGTTTTACGGCTTTCGGTTTACGGTAAAACACATTTTCTATTGTAGGCCGATATGTGTTAACAAAGATTGTTGTTATGTTGTTTTTTTTTCTTTAATTCCCTCTGTCTCAAATCGGGTTAAGGCGAACTGAGTTCACTCAGTTCAAATGAGTACCCGGCATGAGTTAAGTAGAAATAATTGCTGCTTAGCCACAAATGCTCTCCGGTGTCCACACAAACAGACGACTCACGTCTGATCTGTCGTCTGCTATAACTAAAAAATATCTTTAACCTTTAACTCACCCCCCCCCCCCCCATCCTCATCGTCAGCCTCACTCTCACCCACCCATTCATTCCCCCCCCCCCCCCCCAGTTGTAATGCACGTGCACGCTGTGTATTGTCCAGCTACAGTTGATGTAAACTAATGTTAGTGCTTAGTTAAAGTTGTTGTTAGATACTTTTATAGTCAACTCAAAATATTACTTTAATTATCAAGCTACAACTTTTCTTTTTGTACAAATAGATATGAGCTACCTCAAGTGTTCATTTAAAACCGATATTCGTTC